TTGCATTATTCCTTCAGTGAAAAGCTGTGCAGTCTGATACTATGACAGAGTTGCTTTGCTTTTAGCACAGACTCCCTTATTGTATCATTACTGTATAGTATGACTAATATAATTTACAGAACAACAGTTTAAAAAAAATAACAGATCAGATCTTCCTCCATGTCCACACAAAACAAAGCACATCACTAGCACTGAAGTTCACTGACCAACTAAACTGAGCTCTGATCAAGAAGTCATAGCTTGCTTTTGCACACCGACTTCCATATTTTTAATCTGGGCTATTCAGAGATCTGCCACAAAGCATATGGTACCAGATATGGGACAGTATAAGACTCTCAAATGAGTAGCAGTGCAGAAAACAGACTTAAACAAGAGGACAGAGATAGGAGAACATAACAGAGAGGGGACTGGCTCATCAACATCAAGGAGAGGTTCACAGTTTGTCATTTTCTACCAAAACACCACTTCCTTGCCAATGACAGAAAATAGTCCTGTCCCACAAGAAGCTGTTGACTGCTAAGTTCTCAATTTTTTTCAGTGGCAAATCTGATAATTTTTTCCCAAACTAAAATACTACCCTATAATTGTTACCACTAATAAGTTTACTTGTTGGCTGTGGCATTGTTTATTTTTTCTTATAATAGGTGCTGTTCCAGTTCAAGAACCACAGACTAAAGTAAAAATGCTTGGTAAGGTAATTTTACATTCCTGGGTACATGTTGTGTTTGTAACAATTCACAGGTCTGACTATGCTAATAAAGTAATTAAAACACAAAAGAAATAAAGGTTGATGCACCAACCTATCTCATGTTGGCAACCTACATGAACTGTTTAACTAACTAATTATGCAAATCTATGTCCCCCCAAAGTTTTAAAACAATAATTGGAATTTTAATACTCCTTTGTAAATGCAAGATGTTCCAAAACAGAACCGATGAAAGTGTGCTTTTTCATTTTGTCCTTTCATATAAAAATGTTGCCCATATTCTGCTTCTTGCCCCCTTTTCAGAGATGTCTGCTGACAGACTATTTCAACAAGAAACACCCCATCCCCAAAGTCAAACCTGAAAATCAATCCCCTCCCACCCTCCTCCCATTTCAAACACCCCTTACACAGAACCACAGAATATTCCAAGCTGGAAGGGACCCAAAAGAATCATCGAGTCCAACTCTTAAGTGAATGGCCCATACAGAGATCTAACCCACAGCCTTGGTGTTATTAGCACCATGCTCTAACCACAAGCTAATCCCAGGTCAAACCCTCCCAGAAAAAAAGCCACTTTCCACAAGGCTCATTTTCCCAGAAACCAGGATCACAAAACCAGAGCTGCACACAAGGCCACTGCAGAGATACCTAACACAAAGATATGTTGGTACCTCCCATATAAGGGTTAATTTTTGTGGCAGGTGACACCTAATGAAACTGCCCAGTCTTTAACTTTACAGAGTTTGGAATATAGGGCTTACATGAATGAGGTATTGGGATTGCAACCCCAAATCCATCACAAAGTAGAAATATTTTGCATGCTTTAGAATGCAAAAGCATGTGCATGATTAAGTTATTACATTAAATTCAACATAAAAATTTGCTAAAAAGCCACAGTACTTGGACCTAAGTTATTCAGTGGAAGTCTCTAGTAAAGACCTGATTGCTCTATCAGTGGGGAAGAGTATAAAAACATTCTTAAATTTTAAGTGTCCAACAGCACATGTCATAGGTAGCTCCCTTATCCATAGCTTTCTAAGGTAAACTAAGTAGAAGTCTAATATTTGCCTCATGGTCATATTTCTACATCCCATTGTTTCATCACTTTTAAGAGTTCCCTATAAATTATGTGAACAAAGAAATTTTGCAACTTTGTGTGCATATCTTTAAAATTTACATTTCCTTCTGACTATCACAGATGACTTCCTATATTCATGTATCTTTTATATTAAATCTGTCCATTAAATCTGACCAAATATTTCACTTCCAAATTTTATAACATTTGCTTACCTCTCTCTTAATACCAAGCCTCTAGTCTGCATTATATTGATATTTAAAAAGGTGCAGCTGTCCTTTTGCTTTTATAACATCCAAATGTCATAATTTATGGTGAATATTATGCTTGAATTATTTAAAGTTTTTGGAGTTTGATCATAAAAGCCAAAGGAGTGAATATGAATAAAATAAGGGCAAGTAATTTGGCACACAAACCAGCAAACTGCTCACTACCTAGCTGTTCACTAAAAAATTTTCATCATACGTTACCAAAAATTCCTTAAGTGCATTTCTCTGTTTATATTTGCATTAGTTAAAAAAAAATCTCCATCTTTTACACAGTTTTCAAGTTCTTTTTCTTATTTACTCTATTTCTAACATAAACTGACTTTTCATAACAACTTCCTCGATGTTTACCAATAAGGAAGAGTCTGATTAGTAGAACACTTTGGCAAAAAATCACTATTTTTAAAATTCCATTGTTACTGAAATATCCCATTTTCACTTTTGACTACCTACAAATGATGTTCAGGTTCCTAACAGAAAACTCTCCTTATAACATCAAGTTTGGAAATAAGAATAACATACACAATATCCCTTAAATAGCATATAACTGATTTCACAAAACAAAGTAATAGCCATTTGTCAGCTATTTGACATATGAAGCTTCATGAAAAAATATAAAATAAGAAAAAGTGATAAAGATTTATTGCTAGTCACTATACTGCCTCAACACTGTAGCAAACTTTGCTTGCAATGATTCTATGAGTTTTGACAACATCTGACCACACTTAAACTTCGACTGAAGTCAGATTAGGCCAAAAATTATTTTACACTGCTTTACCTCTCTCACCAGACTAGGAAAATGTTATGAAAGAGCGAATGCATAACAACAGTAAACTTTTCATCTGCTACGAACTGGGAGAAGACAGGGATAGATATCAGGCAGCATTTTTTCAACTCTATTACAGTGGTCAACTCACGAAAAAGAAAAAAGAGTACAAGAAAATACAATATAATCTCCGTAAAGTATAGTTTGGAATATAAGGTTTGTATTTGTGAATACAAATACAAGAATTAAACACTTCACATGCACCAAAATGATGCACCTGACCTGAAATTCAGTATTTCTGAATTCCAAGTAGAGACTCCAGCACATTTTTCTTGCATGCTTTCTCTTCTTAAAACATACAGTACACCAAATATTGTCAAGTTCAAAACTAGCAACTATTCATAAACACATTTCTGATTTTTATTTCAGTAATACCAAGAAACAGAAGTAAATTCTCCTACTAGAATGGCAGTTCTAGGCCCAGTTTCATAAAAATCTTTTGGTTTTTCAAACTTATGTTAAACATTTTCATGCTATATGAACCACTTCTTCCAGCTGAAAAGCATTTCAGTGAAAAGTTAGGTAGCTTTATGTAACTGGAAATGAACAAGATTATGGAAATTTTTATAGTCTTATACAAATTAATATTACTTTCAGCCAGCAGCAGAATTTAAGTTAGGGCAGTTAACCCAAAAATAGCAACAGAATTTACAAATATTCCCTGTTTAGTAGCACTAGTTCTTTTTCTAATAACCAGGAAGTAGATAAGGTTTAAAAAATATTAACATATTTAAAAGTGTACCAACAATAGTCATTATGATCTTCATCAAAAAAATGCTACAGTATTACCATATTGAGTAAGCATAGCCTTAATAGCTACCATCTCAATAAAGAAAGTATTTTTTACTTGTCAGGTACCTCATAAAAACAACTTACAGACTTCCCCATAAGTTGTTCACTACTCGGAAATTGTTAGCCTGCAGAAAAATGGTCATGCTGTTTTGCAGTTCTTGTTTTGGAAACTTTCATCCAAGGTCTAGATTTCATCAACATAGAATAGTCAGAACTGCACTCACTTGACAATTTCTCTTAAATTGTATTACAGACTGAGAGGCAGTTCATCAAAGGACATTGCAAGTAAATCAGCAGATATGGGAGGGCAAGATAGATGTGTGCATCATTAATCTTTCTAAACCCTGAAATATCAAGTTAAAAATCTTACAAAAATGATTCTGCTGCTGCAGTGCTCTACTATTATTCCTTTCACTCATCCAGGGGCTTCTCATAACAGTGGGTAAGAAATCTGCTCCTCTAAGGTCCTAGCTGCGACAAAGGTTTAAGGTAAAGTATTATAAAGGGTACAATTCTCTCTTTTGCTGTCTATCAATCTACTCAGAACAAATCTCACATACACACCAGCAAACGATGTTTCAACAGAAACAGAAAACCCACCCCTCAAACACCAAAGAAATGCCAAAGGTCTTCATGCTTAAACTTCAAAGAGAGGTCCTGGAATTTGAAAGAAAAACTATTTCCCAGTTCCATATCCTTACCATAGATTAATTTTACCTAAGGAATTGTTAAAATTCATTTAGGAAACTTGAGGCATGCACTTTTTGTGTTGCATTCAAGAAGCAATAATGGCAGAAGCCATTAAGCAATTGCAGTTTTCTTAATTTCAGTGTATGTAAATGATGTAAACTTGGATCAACTATTCTAAGGCACTTTTTTTCACATTCCACTCAAAAGAGTCACATTTCTCTGTATGGCTATTTTGTACTAGTATTTTTGAAGCTGCCTAGCTCAATAAAATTCCAGGAACAAAATCTAATGAGTTGCATCCCAAATGGTCAAGCATAATACATTTTCAGAATAAAAAGGAAGTGTAAGGAAAAGATGGGGAAACATTTAAATTTGCAGTATTTCAGAAATAATATATTCAAAATACTATATTAATGAGGGCTAAGGAACAGCTCACAGACTCTTCCCTTTGACATGGAATTCAGCATTCATGCCAAGTAAAACAAAAGCCACTTACAAATGTTTATTCCCACTAACATTCAAACAGTACTTCAAGGCAAACAGTCCACTGGGTCTGGTCTTCTCTCTTTTTGCTTCCCTTGAGTTTCTGTATAGACCACATTGCATTATAAAATTTAAGGTAAAACAAAACCAGTTGGGCCCTACCTCTGTCGCTGAAGTCATCCACCAGAATGATTTCTGCTATCAGGCTGTCTGGAGTGCGGTTGATAATACTGTGTATTGTTCTCAAGAGTGAGGTCCAGCCTTCATTATGAAATGGAATAATTATGCTAGTATTTGGTAGTGTTTCCAAGTACACCTTGTGCTTACAGCTGGAAAGGCAAGAAAATAATTGTATAAGTATAACAAAAATCTGAGCTGGCATACAGTGTCATCCATTTTGGCCATTCAACCATCATGGTTTCTGGTATAAAAATTCAACAGTACAATCAAGTAGTACTTTCATGTGACAATAACTGGTTAATTTAAAACATTTACATTGCTTACAACATAGAATAAATTGGAACAATGACAAAACTTAAGCAGAATGAGTGAAAAATTTAACTGTCTGGAATTCTTTTGCTTTGCCGGAAACTTCTTCTTGCAAAATGACAGAGGACATATCTTCTACAACATCATTACCTGAAAAAAACCCACCCTCTTATCAGAAAGAATTCCAAAGCACAATATGTAATGTAAAAGAAAATCTGAAGTGATCCTTTTTTCGTCGACAGCAAAGATTGTAAAAATAGTCTACTATACCAGGAGATAAAATCTGAGAAAACAATTCAGTATTATCCCAGATGATATGTGCTTACAATATGAAAAACAACAACATCCACAAATACAACTCCAACTCCACATCTCGATATCCAAAATGATTGCTGGTATTAAATATAAAGATAAAACACAATTCTCAAAACATAGACTCATAAACAAGGAAATGTAAACAACCTTTCATTTTTCAAAGGAAAGCACTGTACATGCAACATCTTCATTGCAATTTGGTTTCTCCTAATATCCAAAAATATTTTATGACTAAAGTTTAGGTTACTGCAACTTCTAGGACCTCATCTTTCAGGTTGTGTTGAAAAAGGGAAAAAAGGGACACATTCCTCTGTTATTAACAAAGCTTGGCATTTTCACCTATTGGGGACAAAGTAACAATGATTTCTCGTCAAAAAAAGTAAGTCACATCCTGACAAAGGTATCCCTAAAAGCAGAAACATGTCACCTTTGCAATAAGCAACTAAAATAATATTATCAAAAAAAAAAAAAAAAAAAAAAAAAAAAAAAAAAAAAAAAAAAAAAAAAAAAAAAAAAAAAAAAAAGGAAAAAAGTTTAGACCTGCAACTTCTAAGTTTAAAAAAAAAGTAGAGATATCTTTGCTCCTTGTCAGAAAGAATAACTATGCTGTAGGTTATAATTTTGATTTACATATATTTGCAGCTTGGTTTGCATTTCCTCTTTTTAAACGTCACTTAGACATCAATATTTACCAATTTATTGTACCACTACCACACTGATGAAATGTTTCAAAGATATAATAAAAACTCATATCTACTACAGTTTTATCTGGAAAATATTAACTGTTATGTAGCTATGAATAAACTAACTAGTTCTTTGATGCTTTCCAAAAAAAAAAAAAATTAAATTTCTAATTCAGACTTTTCTTTTTAAAATGTGGTGACAATTTAATGACAAGTCATTTTCAGAAATAACTTCTGAAACTTTTTAATAAGCAGCTTTTTGGTAGAACATAGATGCACACTGGAAAATGGACAGTTGCTTTGCAAAAATGTAAAGTTCTGGAGAAAACAGTGCTCATTACCTAGTGACAGAAAGGTCTAGATACTTATTTAAACATTTTCTGAGAAAAAGAAAAACCATTGCATCAGTAGAATTTAGAAAAAATTCCTTTTCTTATCAGTAAGAACAGTTACAAAAAATGAACCCAATTATTAACATGTAACTCAGTTGGTAAATGAAAACCACTTACAAAAAACACTTATTGTTGCCAGCTGTTTGCCAAAACTGATACTTCTTGAACTAGAACAAATGCAACTACCATGTAATTCACACTATTCTTGAAAGTGAAAGTTTTCAGCATTTTCAAATCCCAGTAAATATGATTTTAAAGTTTTCATCTCCATAAAACCCCAAGCCAAAAAAAACCAAAATATCACACAATACCAAGTCGATCATCTTCAGTTCATCTCACAGAATCCCTCACCAATACTTTCTTTCTTGGAAATTCTGTCTTATTGCTGACTTCCACAGTGACATATTTGATCTTTGTTATTGTTTCTAGTTACTCTAATTGCAGGAGTGTTTCTTATCAGGCATGCATGCTGCACTGATATGCCTATTCTCTTTCCTCCTAGTAATCTGAACACATAATTAATAAACAAGTTACTCCTAGGGATATCTCCTCCACCCCTAAATACACACACACAAAATAACTGTTTGCACTCAGTCAGAGAAGACCACAGAGAACAAGTGAAAAAAACTAGCTTATCATTACTCCATATGGCAAGCTAGTCATTAAACCCAAATAAATTACTTCTGTAGTATAATCCTACTGCATGTTGGTTATAAGGCTAACTGCAAAGTCAATGTCCTCTAGGGTGTTCTCTAGGTGAACTTTTTTCCTTTAAATTTAAACAAAGCGTGTAGTTTAAATTTTTGTATTTTTAGCTATGCACTCACTGTAGACATTGAAAAGGCAGAACTTTTCAGATAGAGTTTAGTCAAACAACTGCTAGTCTTTCAGTTGTACTTTTCAAAACAAATAAATGGTTGCCATCAAAAGAGATGGTTTTTAAGCCTTTGGAAAGCGGAGTCATTTATTTCTAGAATGCAATATCCAAATGCCTGAATCAGTAAGTTAGAAGGGGATAAGATACATCTTCATGAAGAGACATCTTCAAGACTATAATAAGTCAGAAGCTATGAACCTTGAATTATGGTCTCAAATGTTGATATCCTTGATCAATTTTGTCTTTATTTCATGATATTTCAGAACTTAGTATCTGGTATTTCTTATCGAAGAATAACACCACATCATTAAATTTCTCCCTCAGAGACTTTCAGATGAGATTTTTTAAAAAAGGGACCTATCTATTAGTCCATGAGCTGTTTCCACAGTAATTTTCAAAGCAGTAAGTACAACTTCACTGCCTCTGTCCAAAGAATCTCCTTCCTCTCTCCCTTCCATTATTACATACCATAGGGATAGGTACAATTGTGCAAGAACTTGTAACGGAAAGCTAGAACTTGTTTCACTCAGGAAGACTGTGAAATACCTTCTCAAATGGGTTAGGTGGTTTTTTTCTTCCTTCTGCATTTCAGAGAAAGTCACAGGGAGAAGTTGTGAGCAAGCTATCTCCCTGGTACGCAGAGAGAGAACATGTTTGCAGACATGTACAAGGCTGCATCGGGCCAGAGATAGTGGGGTGGAGAGAGAAAAGATAGAAAAGCCTTGGGGAAGATGGGGGCATTGCCTTTTTCCCCTGGGGGCCCGGTGTGTGCAGCATTGTTAAGTGGTCCTTGCATCTGAAATACATCTTTTTTTAATCCTTCCACTGCCTTGGCATTCTTGGGAAGAACACCTGCCTATGTTTTACCTTACAGATACATTGCTAAGCATTAATAAAATGAATGAGTCAAGTATGTAATTTATTACTGTTTTGAAAAACTGAACTTGGAAAGCTGCACAAACCCATTTACTATGCACACCTGCCACAGAGTCACCAAGAAGTATCTTCCTCGGAAAACAGAGTTTTTTAACAAAAAGGTAAGGTAGAATATACTTGTAAGTAAATTCTATAGTAAAAACCATTAAATGTACATTACTAATGAAGTGGAACTTCCTACCAGCTTTGTATTTGGCATTGCTGCTCCCATTGGAGCTGGGCACTTGGCTCCAGGAGTTCAAGGCTTATTCATAGAAGTGATATACTGTCATACCCTTTAACTTGCTTTAAAACACTTAATGTTGACAGAATTTTTTGACAGAATTGAAAGAAGAATCAAAACTGAGCTTCTGAGTTTCTGAACAAAACAATTTTAGAGTTGGCTTCAAAGTTGTAGGGAACCTTTTAGAAGGTTAAGAGAATAGGAAGAGGTTCCTGTATTCCTGAAATATTAACCTGTCTAAGGAAGAAAAAAATTGTCACAAAAATTCTGTGAAGCTTTCTGCAGCAAGCCCTAATAAAATACAGCTTGAAGAGGACTGCTTTTAAAAAGAGAAGTAGAGAAAATCGTTACAATTACACTTCTTTTTTATTCACTACTAAGAGTCCTAAGACTATTGTGATTTAAATTTGTAGTTAGCATACTCTACTGGGCAGACCTAAGACTTCAAGGAATAGGGATAGTTCTGTTTAATTCCCTGATGAGCTTATATGTGGGGGAAAAAAATGTCCTAAAACATCATACCAGCTTAGGGAAAGATGCAGAATTTCCAGATTCTCCATCTTTACAGTTTCTCCGTTAAGAGAAACATGCAGAAATCTAGTGCCTCTGTAGACAACAAAATTAAAGAAAACAGACTTCTAAAATGATAGGAAAGGAGAGCAGGGCTGGCACCACTTCAGGCACTTGACAGTAAAAGCCAATCCATAAAAGCAGCAATTTGCTTGACCCTGTGGATATATCAACAACATTTTATGCACATTGAGGGATAGAGTAGAAATGCTGTGGTCAGTTACCAGGCTCTGTGCCTTCTACACACATCAACAACTTTGTAAACTGCCCTTTTGGAGAGATAATAACACAGAAGAAGTTAAGTGTCTCACACTTATCTCTTTGCAGCATTTAGGAAGCAAGGTAGCAGCCTACTACTGCAGTTTCTCTATCATAAAAGTATCCCACCTCTGACTTTCTCCTCTTTCAGAAGTGCCAGAGAAAGCTAAAGCAAAACAGAAAGATTTGCAACCTTTTTTTTTCCCCACTGGCTTTGTCAGCTCACGCTCTCTTTGCTGAACTGCTTTTTCATATCTGACCTTTTCTTTCCCTTTATTAAAAGAAACTACAGCACCCACTGGGCTCCCAGTTACTGACAAGACTCCTATAAGCTACCAGGACAAAACATTTTCCAGTGAAGATTTACATAGTAATTGTCTTAGCATGTCAAAGTATTCAATTTACAGCAACAAGCTTCAGTCACACCGTGTTTCTGTTCCAATCTAGCCTTGTCAACTGAGCCTGATTAAGTAGTGATAACTAGTAATTTCTGCTGCTATTTGACAAGGCTGTAAAATTAGCTTGTGTGTGAGCTGACAGCAGGGAAAGTAATCTTTATTTTCACGGTGGCTCACAGCTGGGAAAC